ATTGCTATAGTGATATTGTGTATGCTTATTAATTTATTTATGACAATTACGCACAGTAATAATTTTGTTAAATTCTTTTGATAGCACCTTTGGAAGGTTTTAATTGGCGCTATATAAATTTATCTTAATAATAGTAATATATAAATCCCGATGTTTTATATCGGGTCAAGGGTGCAGTTAGTCGTTGGAAGATAATAAAGTACCCAAAGCAGGAACCCAGTCAGCTATAAATATTAGTTTACTTAACATTAGGTCAATAAGGTCAAAAATTGATATTGTCTATAATTTGCTTACTGATGGTATAGATATTCTCTAACCAGGTTACTGAACAGAAAAATGGCGGCACACTAGATCTAGTGGTCTCGTCGATGGAATTTCCTGAATCCTCATGTGCAGTTGGACCTCACGGAGTATATTCTGACCATTCCTTTGTTCAGATACTTCTCAATACATTTCACCCGCCAGTCAAAGTCAACATCAGCAAACTGATGAACACTGGTGAACATTTCCAATCCACAGCTACTGGACGATGGCCCTGTTCAGTTTGTAAAGCTGGTGTAGGTAACAATTCAATCAAGTGTCAGCAGTGTAACCAGTGGTGTCACAAACGTTGTTCAAAAATAATTGGTACTTTATCTAAAGTGTCCAATTTTGTTTGTCCTGCTTGCATCAATCCACAACAACAAATTCGAAATAGCACTGTTTTTGAAGCCATTAAAATAGAGAAAGTCACATCGTTTCAATATCTAGGGGATGTTCTGGATTGTACTGGAACAGCTAAAGCTGCCGTTCGAGCACGCATACGTGCAGCCTGGAATAAATGGCATCTCCTTGCCTCTATATTGATGCGGCGTGACATCCCACTACCACTACGATCAAGACTTTATAAATCTGTGATACGTCCGGTGTTGTTATATGGTGCAGAAACATGGCCAATGACAACCAAACTGGAACAACAACTTCAACGAACCGACATGAAAATGCTTCGATGGATGCAACGAATTAGTCTAAAGGACCACATCAAATCTACCAAAATTCTGCGTCGTGCTGGTTTAGATGATATAAAGGACGAATGCCGGCAAAACCGTCTGCGGTGGTTTGGTCATGTCAAACGAAGTGGAAACAGTGTCATAACTTCTCTTGCAGATGTTGAAGTACCTGGCACACGTCCCAAAGGCCGTCCAAAGAAGTCCTGGTCGCAAACAATCGAGCAAGACATGAAAGCTCTAAATTTAAATGAAATGGATACAACTGATCGTCTAATTTGGCGCAAAAAGTTGATGGCAAAGAAAACAACGTCCTACCTCGGGAAACCGGGTCTCTGGACGCAAAACGAAGATTGATTGATTGATAGATATGCATCCAAACACCTTGTCACATCTAGAGATATTTCAACCTCATCTTGGTTTGATAAAGATCGCAAGCAGTTAAGGCAGTGTTGTAGAAAACTCGAGAAATTTATCCCAGTAAAATTAGCAAGGCTGCATTTGCGAATACCATTGTAAGGAAAAAATTGTTTTCTATTATACGAAAAAATTATTGAAGGAACATGATTGAATCAAATAGTGCTGACCCAAAAAATCTATAAAAAATTATTAATAGAGTTCAATGCAAAACAGGTGCAGTCAACACTTCTGATATGTCAATCGAGTTTGATTCAAATGATTTTGCTCAATTTTTTAAAAAAAAGTTGATAAAATATTAGAGACGATGCACGGTCCTGATGAGC